GGGGGGGGGGGGTTTTGCAACTGAAAATTATCTATACACAATTTCCTGACAAAAATTGAATAAATACAAATTTGATACTTTTTAAAATTTGTGGAACAAAATTGACTTTGAAAGTTTTCATGGACAACATTCTCCATTCTTGACCAGTTCTGTTTCTCATTCACTTCACTAAAATGGCTGGATGCCGACATCAGAAACAGGACCTTACCTTGTTCAGCCGGGGGATAAGAGACTTGAGTCTGAACCCAGCTGCCCTATTTGCTAGTGGATTCTCCTGCTGCCCTTTCCTGGTGCTTGAAAGATAGTCACCACCCTTTGTGTGAAAACAATCAGCCCAAATGTTCAGTTTCCTCTGCAGAGAGCGCCTCCTCCGAGGAGAAGTCAGGGACGCGAAGGAGAACCAGGAGCTTGCCTGGGTGCCCCTCAGTGCTGGCTAGCCTCAGTTTTGTGCAGAGCTGATGCTGGTTTCTGTGTGAGTCCCATTCTTCCCCACAGGTGCTGGTTTGTAAATGATTCTGGCTTTGAATTTTGGGAGGGGGACAATTTAACCCCAGACTTTGAATGACACTTCAGCTGTGAAAGGTTCTTATGAAGCCCATGCAGGCCCTGCACAGCTCTTGTTGTCTTTCAGCATGATTTACAGAAGGTAAAAATTTTAGTATGGCATAAACTGGAAAAGGCTCTGAACCGAAACCCCAAACCCAGCACTATCACCCCCCCCCCTCACACACACACACACAAACTTCTGGTTCAAAGCCTGAATAGGAATTTTGCAGCTGGCCCTCACCTCTGTCCCAGGGCAGAACAAAATGCCCCAGGACTTTGGGGAGCTCTGGATCTGAATTGTGCAGCTCTGTCTAACTCAAGGACAAATGAGCCTGTGTAATGAGAGCAAGTAAACTTCCCTAGGCTGTGGTCTTATGGTGACCTCAGATGCTGCCATTACAAAAAACCAAACAAAACCAAACAAAAAAAAACCACCCAGAAAAACCCCAGTGACTTGCCTGAGTGTAGTTCCGTTTCAACCCTCCAAGCTTTAGGAAACAGCAGGGGGACATCCTTAGTGTAAGTCTGCAGCTGCTTTGGGCTCCATCTGATTCAGACAGTTGCTGCAACAAGTCAAAAATAAGACAGAAGCACGACACTGAGGCCATTATGACAACATGAGCTCCCCAGGGCAGAGCAGTGAAACAAGCTTCTAAATATAGGGGGAAACGAGTTTGTTTCAGTTAAAGGAAGTGGTGTCTATTATTAAAACATTGGACTCACTTCAGACCCTTCTTAAAACAATCCCCATCTTGCAAGGGGGCATCCTAAAAAGAGCTAAGCTGCCAGATGCAGATAGCAGCAGCAAAGACAGTTTGGCTTTTCAGACTGTGGACCAGGATAGAAATCAGGTGCTAATGGCAGAATCCTGTTTGATTAGGGATGGGCCGGGCCTGGGCTCTGGATCTAAACGTCCCCCATTGCTGGGCTGTGATTGGACCTGGCATTTTGGACCATGTCTAGTGTCAGTGCTACGTACAGAGGTCCTGATTTTCCAAAGGCTGGGGCCAGGCACAAAAATGTGAGAGCGAGCAAGGTAAAATGATAGCAGCTATTGAGCGAGGAGAGTTTCTGGTGTGGAGTCTGATCGCACCCCACTGTAATTCACAAGTAATTCCCCTATCATCAATGGGATTACATTGGTGTCAAACCAGCACTAGAGGAGAATCAGGTTCCTGGGCATGGATCCTGGCCCATGCTAGGGCCACTTTGCACCACCTTCTGCCAAAGAGCCTTGCCCAGGCTCTAAACATGCAGCGGAGTATTCCCCTCATAGGGGGGAATGGCTGGCTGGCATACAGCCAGCTCTGTGTCACCCCCCTCTGGCAAAGGAGGTCTGACAGGGCAGGTGAAGGCAAACCCCAGCCAGCATAATTACCCCTCCCTCAGAGGTTATTATGTTCTCCTGAGCTCTGGAGCAGCTGAGGTTTGGGGCTTCTAGGTCCAAATGATATAGCTTTTGACGCCTCTGTAAAGAAGACACAGATATACCACAGTGGTGGCTCTCGTATTTGCCCACCCACGGATCAAAACTGTGCTCTCTCCGACTGACTTCAAACATGGTTGCTGCTAGCAGGGCTCTCTCGCCGTTGCCCTGTCTATAGGGATTGTTTACTCTGCGTACAATGTGAGCCAGACTTTGCGGCAGAATCTACCCCTCCTTAGGCTTTATACCATTGTTATAAGGTGGTTCTTGAGGGGGGGAGAAACTAGAAAATTCTCCGGAGTGAGTCCTAGAACCCAGCTATCAACACCTGTGTCTGAACACACTTGGAGATAATAGAATGGTGGCTGCGGGGTGATGGCTGGAATGCTGGTACCATATGAAGCTAACCTATCTACACTGTTTGGGTTAATCCATCGCTACAAGGGAGCTATCTCGGAGGAGGATTAGAAGCCACGATGGCTAACGCTGGGATTTTCAGTGAGACTTGGGCACCTAATGCCCCTAGGCTACTTTGGAACTCTCAGTAAACTAAAGCACCCATGGCTGTGATGTATTGTTTACACTAACACCCCTGAATGAAACCAGCAGTACAATGGTGGGAAATAGGAATGAAACTAGTGTAGACCTAGGGCAACATTTTCACAAGTGGCTGCATGCCTTAGGCGCCTAACTCTTACTGAATGTCAATGGGACTTAGGTTCCTAAGTTACTTTTGAAAATGGAACTTAGGCTCCTAAATCACTCTGGCACTTGTGAAAATGTTACCCCCAGCCTAATTTGATGTGCTAGAGCGTCCCGTGTAATGGCTATTTCTTTGCATTTCCTTCTTGATCTTGTTCTTTGAAACAGGAGCAAAATCCAGCAGAGTTAACAAACTTTGCAGTGTCCTTCCCATGGCACATCCCCTGTTGTTTAAAACTAACCTCCGCTTCAAATCTTGGGAAGGTGTAAGCGGGGAGGTACATGCTGTAGAAAATATAGATGACTGACAAGAACACTGGCTCCAGTGCTGGAACTGCGGGGCTGTTTAAAAGAGAGTATTTCAATAAACCACAAAAATGAAGAAGTGACAAGGGGAAACGATGCATGACTTACAAACGGAAAACAATGGAGCGCTTACCGGAGGGACCTTCCTGCAGTTATTTAACATTTATGTTTGTTATTTATAGATGTAGCTATCAAATGCGGTTCTCAAACTGTGGGTCGGGACACCAGAGTGGGGCGCAACCTCATTTTAATGGGGTCGCCAGCGCTGGCGTTAGACTTGCTGGGGCTCAGGGCCGAAGGCCAAGCCCCACTACCCAGGTCCAAGGGCTTCAGCCCTGGGTGGTGGGGCGCAGGTTACAGGCCACCCCCCACTCCCCTCCCCTACATGGGGAGGTGGGGCTTTGCCACCCCATCCCCCCTCCCCCGCGTAGGGAGGTGGGGCTTAGGCAGGCTCAGCTTTCAGTCCCCCCTCCTGGGGTCGTGCAGTAATTTTCATTGTCAGAAGTGGGTTGAAGTGCGATGAAGTTTAAGAACCCCAATAAGCTGTAGCGCCACAATTCTGTGGGTTGACGCTGCACTGGAGGATAGCATGTCTGCTCCTGCAGCTGCATTGCATGCAGAACTTGCCTCAGGAAGAACTCCAAGGTGTGCTCAGAGCAGCTCCAAGGTGGCCCCCAAAGTTCTGCAGATGCCAGTGCAGAGCTGGCTGGAGGAGGACAATTCTCTTTTGCAGCAACTTTCAAGTTTTTGAGAGTTGTTTTCCTTCCATACTGGAACAAAAACAGATCATTTGGAACATTTTTATCCACATAGAATTGTGTCAAAATGTCTGTTTTTCGGGTCAAAACCTGAGCTTTTTGATTCAGGAAGTGTGTGTGCTGGAGCCTAGGAGACCCAGGTTCAAGTCCTTGCTGTGCGATTTGGGATGAAAAGTTCAGCTCCGAATCAGGTGGAGCAGGGATTTGAATGTGGGTCTCCCACATCCCAGGCTAGCGCCCTATCCACCAGGCTCCAGAGAGTGAAAGGCTTGCTCAAAAACCATGCAGATGAAAATGTCATCAAAATCGGTACCTCTCCATGAAACAGCGTCAAAAATGGTCCAGCCAGCTCTAGTCCAGTATTTAAACCAGTGCCATGGTTGAAAATATTGGCCTTCTAGGTTGCGTGAGAAACTCAGCATTGCCCCGCCGCTCATAATTTCAGAGGTTCAATTCTACCTCTGGTCTTGGACCTGGATCTTACAGGGCTGACACTGCTGTGCAGTTGTAAAGTAGGAAGAAATCGGAGGTGATGAGTTACACAATTCTGTTCTGCCTTTCCAGGCAAATCCTAGAGCCCAGCTCAAAAAGAGCAGCTGATACCTCGAATGTCTTGGCCCGCAGTCCCAATAGAACACATTCAAAATGTGCAGAAATTTGGCCCCACCCTCCAGTGGCTGACCAGAGTAACGGAGCCAATATGGTACTACCTGCAATGAAGGCAAACGTGCCCTGTGCTGAAAAATCCGGGACTTGCTATTTAAGCAGAGTCTATTTAGTAATGAAAGCAAAATGGTTTTTCCTTTTTACTGGGAAAAAAATATATACATTCAAAGTAATAAAGGTGTTTAGCTGGCTTGAGGAAAAGCAACAGTCCTCTCTGTAAATCTATTAGGGGCTTGATTAGCTTTATTATTGAGCACCAGTCATAGCCCAGGATGCCATTGTGCTAGGAACCACAGTAAAAATAGCTGTGCGGCTATGACTATGTGGGCAATCGGAGGGGCTAGCTGCCTTGTGTATGTACCTTCAGACAGGATTGTACTCAGGGTAGCTAGCCCATCCCACAGCACATGCAGTCATCACAACATTGCTATTTTTAGCACATAAGAATGGCCATACTGGGTCAGATCAATGCCAGTATCCTCTCTCGCGACAGTGGCCAATGCCAGGTGCTTCAGAGGGAATGACTAGAACAGGCAATCATGGAGTGATCCATCCCCTGTCGTCCAGTCCCAGAGCATGGAGTTGCATCCATGACCCTCTTGGCTAACAGCCATTGATGGACCTATTTTCCATGAATTTATCTAATTCTTTTGTGAACTCCATTATAGTTTTGGAGTCCCCAAGCAATGAGTTCCACAGGTTGACTGTGCGTTGTGTGAAGAAGTATTTCCTTACGTTTGTTTTAAACCTTCTGCCTATTTATTTCATTGTGTGACCCTTGGTTCTTGTGTTGTGTGAAGGAGTTAATAACACTTGCTTATTGACCTTCTCCACACCATTCATAATTTTATTGGCCTCTATCATATCTCCCTTCAGTTGTCTCTTTTCCAAACTGAACAGACCTAGTCTTTTTAATCTCTCTTCATATGGAGGCTGTTCTATACCCTTAATCATTTTTGTTATCCTCCTCTGTACCTTTTTTAATTCTAATATATCATTTTTTAGATGGGGCAACCAGAACTGCATGCAGTAGTCAAGTTGTGGGTGTATCATGGTTTTATATAGAAGGATTATGATATTAGGATATTAGGATATTTTCTGTTTTATCTATCCCTTTCTTAATCAGAGCTAGCACAGGTATGTCTACATGAGCTGGAAATTACATCTTCTGGCTACAATGTAGACATACCCACAGAACAAAACAAAAGCTTTCACCCTCTCCTGCTACCATCAATTAACAATAGAGCTAGTCCATATTTTTTTAATAACCGTTTGCATCAGCACTAGGGGGGAGGGGTTTAAATAAAAAAGAATTCATCAGTTTTTCCCCCCACAAAATATTTGCAACCATTTTTATCAGAAATGAAAGAGTTGTTACAATTTTTAGTTCATCCCAAACTGGATTTTTTCATAAATGAACATTTTAATATCATTTTTAATAAAAACGTAGAGTACATAAAGTATGAAAAAAAATGTAACCCACTCCCCTCCCCCGCAAAAAATGTAAAATGCTGTGAAAGTTCAAACCCCACAAAAAACTTTTCCAGTCAGGCCTAGTTATCAATGAGCTGGCAGCCAGGATGGGAGAGAAGTCTGTACGTGACATGTTGGGATTGGATACAGAGCTGTAGCAGGAGCTGCAACAGTCAGTTAAGTATGCCTGCTATACCCTGCTAAAAAGTGAGGAAGGCTCATTTGTTATGCAAATGTCTACTTGCGCCTGGCATGTGCAGTGGAAAGCTCTTTGAATTATTTTAAGCAAAGGACAAAAGTTCTTTCCCCTCCCCTATCATCTTGGATCCTTGAACAAACAAAATAATAATAAAAAAAGAAAGCTCGAGCTGTGTGAACCATCTGAAAATGAAAAGCCCTCTGCTTTCCTGGCAAGAGTACTCCTGTTCTTCTTTTTGCGGATACAGACTAACACGGCTGTTACTCTGAAACCTGTACAGCCAGGGATACACAAGCAGTTGAAAAATAGAACAATTAAAAAAATGTATTGGAGGTGGTCTGGGTTTCTTTTTTATAAGGGCAGCACAAACTAATCATCCTTGAGCTTTATCTCCAGGATTGTGCTGGGGCAGATCGGTGCTACTTTAAAGGGCTGTTCCAGTGCTAACAGGAAGACAGTCACTTCCTGACTGCACATGCACTGCATACCCACCTGAATGTTTCCCAGTTTGCTTCTTGTTTGAAATGAGGCTCTCAGGGCGATGGGGAGAGGTTAGTTTGGACGAATGAAAAGCACTGGACTAAATGTTCCAGCCTTGCAGCCTCACAGCTGCCAACTATCCACGTTTGCATGTTGCACCCACCAAGGGCCCATTTGCAAACATGCAGGACAGAAATTTGAGTGCCTGAGTTCCGTTCTTTTGTCCAGAAGCTCCCTTCTGCCCCAGTAAACTCCTGGTTTGAACATGCAGATGAGTGGTTTATGGGTGCCATGGTTGTACGTTGTTACTGCTATTCATATAGTGTGATGACGGTGCATGGCGGCTAAAACTGACGTCTTTCCCTTTTGGAACAGCTTACAAGGTGTGGGCCAGATCCCGCTCCCAATTAGACTCAAGAGCAGAGCTACAGCTGATTACAAAAGGACTCAAATAAATGAGGCAAAGTCATCATCGGAGGCTGCAGGTCAGTGGTAAGAACTCATCATTTCATCAGTGATGGTTTATATGACAAATGCCATAGCATGTTTACCAAGCAACCCGTTCCTCAAGCTGTATCCACACTAGCCCTTTCATCCACTGGGATGTCTAGACTTGGTTTGAGCAGTATTTCAGAGCATGGTGGTTAGAACAGCAGAAACGGCCCTGGATGGTCCAGTGTTCCCACCACTGAACCCATAAATTGCTGCAACGGTGGAGAACTAAGAAAATAAAGACCAACGTAGACACAGCCTGAGTGCTCTAGAGTCAATCCTAACTAGGGTGACCAGATGTCCCAATTTTATAGGGACAGTCCCGATTTTGGGGGCTTTTTCTTATATAGGCACCTATTATCCCCCATCCCCTGTCCCGATTTTTCACACTTGCTATCTGGTCACCCTAATCCTAACCCATTCTGCTGTTCCTCATGGCACATGTATGCAGCTCAGTTTATGTCTGTGTAATAGCCCCTCAGAAAGTCCTGTTCTCCTTCGAGAGGCGCTCTGCACATTCACACTCTTGGGACGCTGATGGTAGAGAGTATTTCAAAGACCTCTGGTTTCAAGCGAATAACCTTCATTTCTGCAGCTTGGGGGGGCATAGGAGGGAAAGATGGAAGAGCCTAGAATTCCCCTCAAGCTCAGCAAGGGTCCATAGGCTTTGAGTGACCTGTTTGATTTAAATATTACATGGTGTTTTCTGGTTTTCTCATCATCACCCAGCTTCCAACTGGGCTGCACCCGTTTTATTTGTACTTTGCACTTTGCTGCCTCGGCGTTGGCTGTGAAGTTTAGGACTGGATGAACTGGTTTGGAGGAAGTAGAGAAGGACGGTCTTATGATTCAGTCAGAGAACTCCAGGGCTCTGTTCTCAGTTCTGCTGCTGACTCGGGCAAGTTAGGGGTCAGCAGTAATGCCGTTCTTCATCTTCCACATCTTCACTTCCACATCTGCAAAACAGGAATAACAATATCCCCCTTGGAGATTCATTACAGCTAGACTCTGGTCACTCTTGCCTGGGTGAGCAAGGTGTGGGGAAGGGGCAGGATACAAAGAGACATAGCCACCCCTTAGAGCATGTCTTCATTGCAGAGTTAGCCCAGGCTCTTACCTGGGTGTTGTCCCTGTCCCCCTCCCGTCCAGGCACAAATCTCTGTCACACAAGTTCAGTGGTGCTTTCAATCCAGGCCACCTGGCACTGCTGGGAGGTTGGGTTAAAGCCCGGGTGCTGCTTTCACTCAGGTGGGTAACCCACCCATTCACTTTGCAGTGAGGATGCAGGCTCAGTCACTCAAATGCTGATAGTCCTCCAGTGCCTTCCCACAATTCCCCCTGCATGCCCAGAAGGACAGATAAATTATCCCACCATTCATGGGGAAATACTCATCGAGCAGCTCAGCCTACTGCAGCACAAAGGACCACAGGATATGTCCCCAGACGTCCTAGTAGCACACGTGGAGGAGTGCAGCACCAGGGAGCACACGGTATCACGGGTAGGGCTTTGCTGTGTGGCTGCTCATGTCCAGGCTAGGCTCCCACCCGGGTGCTGAGCATCTGAGTTAACTCAGCAGTGAAGACATACCCTGCTCCTCCACCTGGCACGCTCAGCCCAGAGCCGGCTCTCAGGCTAGTTCAAGGTGTGGCAGTGGTAAAGGGTACAGCAATGGCTGCTCTCATGTGTGTTCTCCCCGGCATTCTGCCTACCTTTGCCCTTCCTTGGCCTAGGGGAGAGAGGCTGTCAGTCCTCAGCGTACTTCTGGCCTGACTGGAAGCCCGAAAGTCTACAATTCTCATGAGAGAGCATATTCCCTTGAGATTTCCTGCCCTATGCACTCCAGGGCATTTCAGAGTGGGGGCGGGGCTAAGCAGCTGTCCTTTTGGCCTGTTCTCCCAGCAGAGCTTGTGGAGTAATAATAAAATGGGGGGGAAATAATCTTTTAAATAGATATCTGCAATGGGGGACCAGGACTCCTTTTCCCTGTATTAACACTGTCCGAAGGCTCATTAATGAATTCAGCTTCACAACCCTCTGGGTGGTTGGTAAGAATTATTATTTCCATGTGCAAATGGAGGAAACAGAGGTACAGAGCTCCTGCTGTGAGTTGTGGCAAAAATCCCTGGGACAGATTCTTATCTCAATTACGCCAGCAGAACAGAGATCAGGATTTGGTTGCTGGGATGGTGTGAGGCTTAATTAATTAATGTTTGAGACCCTTGGCTGCAAGGTGCTTAGAAGTGCAAAGAACTATTCATTACTATTATTTAGATCACTATCTGGAGATGAGGTGGGAAATCAATCTCTCCTATCTTGGTGGTTAAGTGCAAAAACACCTTCCCAGCTTGTAGGCCACCAGGTAGGTAAAGTTAAGGCAAAAATGAGATTTTTCCCTGCCCATCCATTTAAGCCTCTTTTGTAGAAAGTGTTTCCCCTTCGTCAGATAAGCATCTTGTTTTTACAGCCACGCACCAAATGTGGATGTAGCAGGAATGGTCTTTATTAATGTCTTTGGCTGCACTCCCAAGTTAAATTTATGCTGTCATGAGCCAGCATCTCGCTAAATTCCCTTTGTACAGAGTTGCAGGCTAAAAGGGGAAAGCCTCACTTTTTCTATATGACGGGTGTTATACGCGTAGCCCTTTCTGGAAATTCCTGTGCCTCGTTTTCTCACAGTCCAGTCATGCCTCTCGGCGCTTGCACTGCATGTGCAGAACTACACAGGCAGCCCATTGAATCTCTGTGGGACAGCCACTGCCCAGCAGAATTCCACAGCTTTGCACAGTGGGGAGGAACATTAGGGGCTCTGCTTATTTTATTACAGATGTCCAATGGTGTAAATAAGGCCAGTCAGTCGGTGGAAACTGTCCATGCCAGCCTCCCAGCCTTGATTAACAACCAAATTTGAACTGTGGTTTCTGCTCAACCAATTTATAACAAAGTGGCCTGTTTTACACTGTAAAATTGTACCGGGTCTGAAAGCTTATGTTAGTTGGCATGATGCTGAATTTAGTTTCTGCTGACCACAAACTTGTGCTCAACATCCATAATAATAATAATAATAATTAATAAATTATTGATTATTACAGTAGTGCTGAACAGCCCCAATCATGGACCAGGACCCCACTGTGCTAGATGCTGTACAAACACATAACAAAAAGACCCCCCGCCCCAATGAGCTTACCATATGCCGACAGGGTAACATTTTGTGCTGCACACCAGGCCTGATTGCTGGTAGCAGCCTGCATGGATGGGCCAAACCTTGTCAAGATTAGAGCTGGTTGACATTTGCAAAAATTTCATCAACCTAGTTTATTTCTTGGATGGGGGAGGAGTTTCGGGGTTTTTAAATCACAACTTAAAAAAATTTCTCTTTTTTTAGTTTTTTGTCACCCTTTCAAAATTCCGAGAACTGAAACAGCTTTCGCCAAGCCCCGTTTTTAAAAGCATGTTCTAGTTTAGGCTAGAGCACCAGCTGGCCAAACCACCCTACAGCATGGCTCCGTGGGGAACATTTAAACACACTTCTTAAATGTGCCTGTGAGACAGGAATAGATGGAGCCTAAAACTCCCTTCAGAAGTAAAGAACTGGTAGTGTCAGTGCTGGCTGGATGGCTAGAACCGACTTGTCACCAAAACATTGGCCTAGGATGCACTGGCTGGTGTGAGGTACTGGCCATGTCTTTTGAAGCTGTTTCTAAATCACTAGTCCCAAAGCAAGACCTAAAATAATGGAACTTTCAGGAACTTCACAGCACCAAAATTAGGGACTTTTCACTGTCCGGGCACAGCTGGAAATAAAGCAACAGCTTTGTCCATGTCTTTGCCAGAAACAATTCCTGAGTGTTCAGAGAGACCGAGGCTCAGATTCTCAACAGTATTTTAGGCTCCTCACTCCCATTGCTTAAAATATCTTCGAGGATCTAGGCCTGAGAGTCCCTTCCCTCCTATCCATCCATCCAGTGGAGTAACTGACTCTCGTTTGTTTGGTGAAAGCGATGTTCTCATGTCATGGCCCAGGAGAAGGACACCCTTGTCACATCCTACAGGCTCTGTATCTCAGGTCTCTTTAGAACAGATACAGCCTTTGGCTCACAGTTTAGATGAATTTCAGTGTCAGTGGGCTCCATCTCCATGCGAATCCTGAAGCGCACATGCCACCCTGGGAGTGTAGACAGTGGGAAGAGGGGGTTCCAGCCCATGTTTCATGGGGATGATGTGTCTATGGGCTGCAATTTCCCCCCCCCCCCCCGAAAATATGCAACAGAGTGATTAGACAGAACAACTGGGCAAACCCATTGCGCTTACCTTAGGGGAGTTCCTTAGTAGTGAAATTCACCCGCTGGGTGCGGGACCCCTGCGAGGGGGAGTATCACAGGGTAGCTATGAGTAGACTAGGCCCAGCACTCCTGTGTCAGAGCAGGTTGGCCCAATTAAAGGGGGCCAGGCTACACCTGGGGTTAGCAAGGGCTGTCAGAGGGCAGGAGGCAGCGTTATCAGTACAGGCTGTGCCTGGGGAGTGGAGCCACGAAGGAGTGGCACTAACACCTGTGGGAGGGGGGGGGCTGTAGCAAGAGGCCAGGTACCCAAGACCTGCTCTTCCAGAAGCATAACAGAACCAGCGGAGAGCAGAACTGGCTGACTAAGGGTGAGCTGTGTTTGTTTTGCTGATGTTTGGACAGAAAGCCCATTTAAAGGTGGCTTGGGGCGGGGGGGGCAGAGTATGCCTGGAACCTGGGCAGACGCCCTGCCCCATGACACTGAGCGCTGCAGTATTTCTCACCATGATGAGGGCATGAGCAGCAGCCACCCAGAAGGGCCTACTAACGTCCTGTGTGCTAGGGAGTAGCACTTCATGCCAGCTCTGAATAGGAATGCATGTGGAGAGTGCCGGGGAGAGCACGGGGCTAGTGGTGGAGCTGCTGCCGCCTCTGCTGTGAAATGGGAAATGCTGCTACTTGCAGGGACAACGAGTAGCAAATCAGGAAGGGCACTGAGGGACTGGACTGCAGCCCCAGGGGTTACCTGTGAGTTGTTGCATGGATTTCATTTCCACAACCCCCTGGCAGGAGACCCACAGAAAGTCCAGCTATCTGGGCCTTGTACAGAATTGCAGAATATCTCCTTAGGACTCTTAAATGGGAGGTGGTATAATAACAACACAAGCTAGTTCTTATATGGTGCTTTTCATTGACAGATCACAACAGCAGTCAATCTCGTTATCCCCATTTTATGGAGGGGGGGGGAAACTGAGGCACACAGAGGGTGATGCTCATAGGCAAACCACAAGGAGAGAGGTGTAGAACGCAGGTATACTGAGTTCCAGTCCAGTGCACTCTCAGCTAGGCCACGGCGCCGCACATAATACGTAGCTCTTTGTGTTCAAGGATCACACACTTTTTGTTAACTAAAGAGGCAGAGAAGTATTATTATATGGCTGTTTTTATTTGATTATCTGACTATGACATATGAAGAAGCTGAGGGAATAACTGACCAGCCCAAGATCCCTCAACAAGTCAGTGGCAGAGTGGGGTCTAGCACCTCAGGATTTCTAATTCCCAGTTGTATGCTGTAACCACTAGACACATTCCCTGGCCTTTTGCATAATCGCTCAGCAGTGTTGTTTGTGTATGCTTTAAGAAGAGTCAGGACCAGCTCTAGGCACCAGCAAACCAAGCACGTGCTTGGGGCGGCACAATTCCAGGGGCGGCATTCCGGGCGCGCTCGGAGGTTGGTTTTTTTTGTTGGTTTTTTCGCTTGGGGCGGCAAAAAGCCTAGAGCCGGCCCTGGGAAGAGTCTTAGAAAAGATCCTGCATAATAATACTTAAGGCAAATAAGAATGAAAAGACTCATTGCAGCTAATGTGAGATAATGGAAACAATGTGAAAATATTTTTCATTTTTATTAAAATAAATTCAAGAGATTGCTCTAATAACGGACAGAACAGTAAGCTCTTTCAGACCATTGCAGCCAATGTGTCTGGTGTGATGCTACCGTATACTGAGTGATGTTACCATTCACCACTATAATTCCCCCTCATTATTAATGCCTCCCATGGTACAGGTATGAAGCTGTAAGGCTGGTGTAATAAGCAAGTCCCAGTACATCAGTTTCAAAAATATGGAGTGCATTGTGTTAGTAATATACCAAGGTGCTGGGTGTAGCTTCCTCTGTTACAGGTAGAAGTTTGTCTACATCAGTGGTCACCAACTGGTCGATCCTAGAGGAACTCCCAGTCAATCGTGATCTCCAGCGGCACAGCGGGGCTGCCGCTAAGACAGGCTCCCTGGCTGCCCCGGCCCCACGCCACTCCCGGAAGCGGCCAGCGTGGCCCTGGAGGTGAGGGAGCCAGGGGTCTCCCCTTGCGCACTGCTTCTGCCTGCAAGCACAGTCCCCGCAGCTCCCATTGGCTGGTAATGGGGAGCTGTGGCCAATGGGAGCTGCGGGGGTGGTGCTTGCAGCGCTCCGGGTCTTCGGCGGCAATTCTGCGGCGGGTCCTTCACTCGCTCCGGGACCCGCCGCCGAAGTGCCCCGAAGACCGGGAGCGCAGAAGGACGCCCCTGCCGCAGAATTGCCGACGACGACCGGGAGCGCGGAAGGACCCCCGCCTAGGGCGCCAAAAACCCTGGCACCGCTCTTGCCCTTCAATTCAAAAAGTAATCTTGGGCGTAAAAAGGTTGAAGGACACTGGTCTACATATTGCAATATAGAAGCTTTAAAGCCAGAATTTTCATAAGAGCCCATCACCTAGCTGAGAAACCCATGGAAGGATCCGATTTACAACAGGACTCATTGTGACTTATTCCCAGATTTTCAAAGCAGCTAATACCCAAAATGCTGAGTTCTTCAGAAGAAGATCTGCCCTCACTTGCGGGTGCTGAGGACTAGCCACACCTTTCTAGTTATTCTCAGGCTTTGCCCTCTCTGGGTTCAATTACAGTTGCTGTTTATATAGCAACATAAGCATAGCTGATGCTTCACAAATAGCTCTTCTGCCCTGAGTCGCTCACACAGTCTGTCCAGGCTCTGGTGGTTCCCGAGAAGTCTCTGGGAAATGATTTGTGTATATCCAGGGCTAGCTAAGCCAGCCCATGGCTATTTGTATCTTTACTTAAATGTGTTTTTCAGGATGTATAGTGCTAAAAATGACTGTCAGGAGACTGGCATGGGTCAGAAGCTCTATGTGCAGCTCTTGAAATACATTCTAATGATCACAGCAATGCTCCCTCACATTCAGAGAGGTGCAATCCTGTTGAAGTATCATTTGACACTGCCTGTAGTTATCAAAAGAGACACACACATTGATCTCTTCCCCCATGTTCCCTCCCACAAGTCTGTCTCTCTGTTTCTGTCTCACATCATATAAATAGTGCAGCTAATGGTGGAGATTAAAGATAAAGTTTGTAGGGTGAGAATGGACTCCCAGACATTCATGAACATGAGTGACAGCACGTATCACATGGCAGACAAGTGGCTTTGGTATTTCATCCAAAGCCCACTGAGTCAAAGGGAGTCTGTCCACTGATTTCAATGGGCTTTAGAGCTGGCCCTTAGACGCAGAGCCCTTTGGGGACGGGATAACCTCAAACTAATTCCCAGACAAAGGCAGAAATATACATGGCCAGAAGTGGACCTGGGACCGACACACCTTGAGCTAGAGGTTTTATTCCCGAACACAGAAAAGCATGTCCTTGCTTGAGCTCACAGGCTATGTTAAAACATGACATGGTGTTCTGGCAGCCATGGCATGGAATTAAACCCTTGTAAACCCTCTAGAGAAAGGACAAAGAAATGGTAAACCCTCTAGAGAAAGGACAAAGAAATGGCAATCATCAGCTAGGAGACTTAGGCCTTAAATTATTTACAGTCAAACTAAATCTAACTCTTTTGGATTTATGGTTCACATCCACATTAAGTATCAGGGGGTAGCCGTGTTAGTCTGTATCTACAAAAACAACAAGGAGTCTGGTGGCACCTTAAAGACTAACAGATTTATTTGGGCATAAGCTTTTGTGGGTAAGCTACCCACGGCCCACGGAAGTGAGGTTTTTACCCACGACATCCACATTAGCAATCCCAGCAGCTAATGGAATGCAACCAGTATGAGCCACCGTTTCCCATTCACATGTTTCAGGCACAGAAGACTCGTCTGGACACCAGCGCTGAAGTGCTTACCTGACATGAAGGCTTCAACCTAATCCAGCAAAGATTGAGTGAGTGATTTCTAAAGCCCCATGAAGGCTACAGATGGGGAGAGCAGCAGTGTTCCAGGTACTAAACTGTCTCGACCAGTTTCTTAGCCATGTTCTTCACAGAGCTCTGCAGTGTCTACCAGACCCGCAGACAATGCATTTGAAGTACATTACCACTCTGAAAAGTGACGGTGGAAAAAATGGCACCACCTTACTCGGCAGATCTTTTCCATTTGCTTCTTCAGGGTCACAGCCGCTGAAGCTAGTGCTGGCTAAGTCTCACACCTGCTAGCCCTGCAGAGCCAGCACAGATAAAACGCAGGATTCTATTCCATCTCGTGCACCGTCAACACAAATGTTTGCCAAGTTCCAATCATCCAGACCTGTGTAAACCCAGCAAAGGCAATGGGACTGCACAGATATCACGAGACATCCTTTGAGGACAATGGGGGTGCACAGTTGTCCCTGAGCACTTTTTGAACCTTTGGCATGGGTGATGGTGTGTGGGATGAAAGAAACCAGCCTGACTTTCAAAGAAACATTTTCTTACTTTAAACTGAGCACAATTGAAATAATAGAATATGGGGGTTGGAAGGGACCTCAGGCGGTCATGTAGTCCAACCCCCTGCTCAAAGCAGAACCAATCCCCAGACAAATTTTTACCCCAGTTCCCTAAGTGGCTCCTTTAAGGACTGAACTTACAACCACCCTAGAGTTAGCAGGCCAATGCTCAAACCACTGAGCTATCCCTCTCCCAAGGAAGGACAGTGAGACATAGTGAGCATGGAGCATTTTTGCAAAGTCACCTTTCAGAGCGGCACTAGGCTTTATGCAAAACCAGAGTGCAAACACAGCGCTTCATTTGTACGCTCCAGGTTCAGTGACTAGCCTTATTATAGATATGAGCTGGCCGCTTCCAGTCGTCATTGGCGATATTTAAATGTCATAAATTCTGCTCGGGGCAAACCCCATCTGGAGTGCCCCACTCACTTCAGAGCACTGTCCCATCTTGTGAGTCAGTGGGGAGAGAGCAGTTTCAAAAGCCATTGCTTGAAACGAAGACCAGTTCAGTTAGAACCCCCTTTCTGAAGTTCACTGGAAAAAAGAATCTGATTCTGACCTCACGTTGTACTGGGGAAAATGAGGAGTAAATCTGCACAATACATCTGGTGAGAGACGAGGATCTGACCCTCTCCAATTGAAAATCTATTGTGTATTAGTTTATAACCCACCATAGGTAATATGAGTGTATGATTTTAATTACATCCTGGTGCCCGGTGCACCATCAAACCTGGTGCCCAATAATAGGACAGGGATTATTTGCTATGGGGCAGTGAGATGACATGAAGGCTAAAAGGAACTGCTTCCTGAAGCTGCCTTTATTTCTGGAAGGTGGCCACAGTGTTCAGGCTGTATCAGGCTGCTGGAAGTCCCCTACTCGCTAACGTGGAGAACAGAACTCAGGGTGCAGTCACAGCTGACGGTTCATCTGCATGCATTTTAAGCACATAGTGTGAAAATGTCTTCGAGTACGTCTCCATGGCAGCCCTAGGTTTGAGCTGCAGTTTGTGTAGACGTACTCACACTAGCTGTACTGTAGCTCGCTCACTAAAAATAGCAGTGAGGGCGTCGTGCCTTGGGCTGCACCAGCAAGTACAGGCCTGGGGGCGGGGGAGGGGTAGATGGGGTTGTGCAACGCGCACTGAAGCCTGTGCTGCTATTTTTTATTGAGCAAGTCAGATTAAAGCTGGCGCTGGTACGTCTACATCAGCTGCCATTCATGCCCCCAGCCGCCGTATAGATGCACCATTGGTAGAAGGCAAAAGAGCTAGTGTCAAATGAGGAGTCAATTCATTTGAGGGGCTAGACAGATGAGAGGATCAATAAGGGGCCAGAGCGCTAGATCATGAGATAATCATTAGCACCCAGCTTAGCTTTATTCTATCAGTCACTAACCTCCCTCTGGAGGGACCTCCACACGTTATAGGATGAACCCACTGGAGGGGCTGCATTGGGGAAACTTGCTGTGTGGCTAAGCAAAAGCTCCAGTGTTCAATGCTGATGATCTGGCTTTCTTTTTTGAATGCTAAACTCACTTTAATAAAGAGACATAATTCATGTTCACCATGACCCATACTTCCTGCGTCTTGCCCTGGCTGCAAGTAGCATACAGAGGTTAATGCTGATGGCTTGGTCTCTGTTCTGTTATGTGGGATAGAAATGTATTGTCTATAGATATGCATGGACAAGATTTTTTTTTAAAGCAACTAATGATTGTGGGTGCCTAAATATTTGGATGCCGAACTTTAGATACCATACAGGGACCAAATTTTCAGCCTGCGTCAAGCACTCACCCACTGGAAATCAAGCCGTTTTGCAATGTCTTAGGTCAGGCATCCCAAAAATTGAGGCACCTGATATATTGGCCACTGGACTTAATATCCTTGCTGCCAACAGGTGCAGACAGGTGGGAAAAGGAGGGCACCACTCCCCCACTCCTACTTCCCCCTCCAAAAAGCACATGTGAAATGCTCAGTAGTTCTTCTTCTTTTGCTGGCTGGCCAGGCCAGATTAGTGCGATTCGAAATGGAATACCAAGGCTTCCACCTGCAGCTCACCGATTGGAACAGGGGGCCTGGGGCAAAGCGGGGGAGCTGCGGCGCTTGTACTCACCTGGCGGCGGTCCAGGTCTTCGGCAGCATTTCGGTGGCGGAGGGCCCTTCAGTTGCTCCACATCCTCGGCAGCACTGAAGGACCCCCCGCCGCTGAAAAATGCCAAAGACCTGGACCACCCCCGGGCCAGGCTCATGGGGGCCCTGTGGGGCCCGGGGCAAATTGCCCCCACTTGTTCCCACCTCTGGGCGGCCCTAGATTGGAATCCAGCCTGGGTTGGTAGTAACTGAATGTTGTCACAATCTGGTGGCAATACAGTGCCCCAGGCAGAACTGGTTTGGTGGCTTCACAATGGCTATCACCATGGTTTGTACTATTTGGCAGTGTCAGCAGAGAGGCCAAAGACTGAATGGGAACAGAGTCTGAACTACCTTCCTCATGTCTAGAGGTTGCCTCTGAAGGCTGAGGGAGAGGTGCCATGGAGAACAAGATGAAGTTTGTACTGTGTGCTATACCCACTAGGTACTCTCACTTATTGTTTTTAAGCACTGGCAATATACTTGGAGCTTACGTGGCACAAAATGAAGGTCGCTCCTGCCCCAGAATGTGCACAGTCTCAAATTTACAAACCGAGAAGATGGACATTGGGAAGACCAGCGGCAGGAGGAACTTGGAGTGATGGATTCTGTGTGATTTGTTTCCATGTCTTTTGGGCATCAAGGCAGAAGTGAGTCCATAGACAGTGGCCTTGAGGCTCCAGGGGTGCTAATGCAGCACTTTTCACCAACACTCAATATTAAAATTATTATTAGGTATCCATGAATCAGCAGGAAGTAACAACGAAGGAGCGCAATGGAAGGGTATCAAAACATACCAGACTTGGGGGGTTAATTCAGTATGTCCACTTCTAATTATAGGAAGGAAATAAAGTCCAATGATTTTCATTCATTATGTGGAAGAGCTAAGCCCAGTTTAATCAGCCCCAGGTCTGTTCCATTGTCCTTTTCTGGGGCTGTTTCATCAAGCAGGTTTTGGGTGTAATGAAGATGTGACACACAGGAGTGCTGGCAAGGGAGACTGGTTGCATTTGCTTTTGGCTGGGGCCAGGAAGTAATGTCATGTGGCAGGGGTCAAGACTCCACTGACTCCAATGCTTTCTGTTACAGGGAGCTAAATGGTAGAATAAAAAGCGTCCCATCTTTTTTCCC